AAAAAAAAAAAAAAAAATTCAACAGTGAGGAATGCCTGAAGCACAGGTCAGAGAAATTGAGGTAGGAGACAATAGAAGACACGACCTCTGAGCCGTACCCTGAAAGTAGAGAAGGATGACAAGGAGATGGGAATGCTGGGAAGGGATCAGGAGGATTAAATCACATAGCTTTTAAATCTCTTTCAATCTTGAGCTTCTAAGAATTTCTCCTGAACAAATCATCTCTTGTCACCCTTCCTGATCCCCTTCTCACACCCCTCCTCTCCACTCCGCCTGTCTGGAGGCCGTAAGGACATCTGACGCAGGGTTTCCTGCCAATGTAAATCACAGGCTGCTCTGTGATGCTCATTCTCAGCTTTCACCATCCCCCAGGAGGGAGACGGCCCCAGATCTCAGGGTGGAGGCCAGCCTTTCCACAGGGTGGCAAGTCAGGGGGACTGTTTACCCACCAGCACCTTCCTGGCCCTGCTCCCAGGTAATTTTATGTCCTCTGGTCCTGGCCCTGCTCCTTAGTTGGACGCACCTCAGTTCACTTGCTGGAGCACTGATGTGTGACTGTTTAACTGCTGCTGCTTCCTGTCCCAGGGAGCTTGGGCTTCAGGGAGCATGGGAAAGAGACAAGAAAGAGAGCTTTATATGAGGTAAGGCTTGACCGTAATCATAAAGGCCAAAGACTAACTTACACTTACATAGTGCTTAACAATTTACAAAGCCCTAGAGAACTCCTATTCATCCTTCAAGGCACTGCACAAATGTTACCTCTTTTCACCCACCTTTGACTCTCCCAGGCAGAGCTAATCCTTTCCTCTACACTTGCTAAAACCTCTATTATAGCTTTTATTGCTTTGTGATAAACTTACTTGTGTACATGTCTCAATTCCCCCATTAAACCATCAGGTACTTGGAGGCAGATCTTTCCCAGTAAAACAAATTTTTTAAAAAATTCTTAAAAAGTAATTTTAGGCCAGGCTTGGTGGCTCAGCCTGTAATCCCAGCACTTTGGGAGGCCGAGGTGAGTGGATTGCCTGAGCCCAAGGGTTCGAGACCCATCTGGGCAACTTGGCGAGACCTCGTCTCTACAATAAATCAAAAATCAGCTGGACTCAGTGGCTCAGCCTGTAATCCCGCGCCTTTGGGAGGCTGAGGTGAGTGGATTGCCTGGGCCCGCGGGTTCGAGACCCGCCTGGGCAGCGAGACCTCATCACTACAATAAAAATAAAAAAATCAGCCAGGCGTGGTAGCGCATGCCTGTAATTCCGGCTACTCAGAAGGCTGAGGCGGAAGGATTGCCGGAGCCCAGCAGGCAAGGCTGCAGTGGCCGGGAGCGTGCCACTGCACTCCAGTCTGGGTGACAGAATGAGACTTCAACTCAAAAAAAAAAGTAATTTTAATGTTCATTATACATGTTTTTCTAATTATAGAGGTAACACGTAGTTATAACAATAAAAAATATTTATATTATATTTATAAAAGTATAATGAAGAAAATTTTAAATTGCCTATAATTTCATCACCCAGATAAAAACACTGTTAACATTTTGGGTATATCTTGAGGTTTTTTGTTTTGTTTTGTTTTGTTTTTGCATCAGGGTGTCACTCTGTTGCCTAGGCTAGAATGCAGTGGCATGATCACGATCATGGCTCATTGCAGTTTTGACCCCCTAGGCTCAGGCAATCCATCTGCTTCAGTCTCCCAAGTAGCTGAGACTACAGATATGTGCCACTACACCTGGCAAAAAAATTTTTTTTTTTTTGGGGGTGACGTCTTGCTATGCTGCCTAGGTGAGTCTCCAAATCCTAGGCTCAAGCAATCCTCTTGCCTTGGTCTCCCAAAGTGTTAGGATTACAGGCATGAGCCATCATGCCCAGCTGAGCATGTTTTAGCGTACAGAAAGTAAAAATGGGACGATATAATGCATGTGGTTTTATAGTCTGATTTTATCACCTATCCTATTATGCGCTTCTTCGAACATCATTGACAATTCTTTAAAAACATCAATTTAAATGACTGCATTATTTCATTTGATGAGTACGCCATAATTTTCCTAGCGATTTCCCCACTATGGGACATTTAGGTTATTTCCTTCCTTTTACTATTTGATAAATTATGCTTCCATGAATAGCCATACACATAAATCTTTGTCTGCATCTCTGCCTATTTTCCTAAGAAAGATTCCTAGAAGGAATTTCTAGGTCAACTGATTTTAACTCTCTAAAGCTTCATGATGCTCATTGCCAAACTGCCCTGAGAAATCAGTGTCAATTTACAATTTCCCCAGTGCAAGAGTGTGTTCATCTCACCTGACCAACATTAGAATCTCAATTGGTATCTTCACCAAGTCCAATGTTCTTTTCACAATGTCTCTAAAGGTGAATAATTTTTCTCAAACACAGCAGAAATTGTACAACCAAATTAGAATTGTCTTGTTCTAAGACATCCACTGGGAGCATATATTTATTTAAGTAGGCTTCCACTGCTTTAAACATTTCTATAATTTTTATTTGAAAATTGGCTGCAAAGCAGACAACACTTTTAGCATTTAAATTGCAATACATTTCTGTCTTTGGGAAATAATTTCTTATTTTTGGCGACAAACATCACTTGGAATGCATGGCGAAGGAGACACGGAGCTGCTGCTGGTTTGGGGGTCAGAAATAAGTTATTTTACTGTAATAAGATTGAGGTCTCCTGTGGCTTGTAAAGGGGAGTTCCACAAGAGTTCTGGCCAGTGGTAGTATCATCAGAATAAGGACTGAGTCACCCAGGAAGACCATTCCAAAGAGGCTGCACTCAGGCAGAGGTGTGGCTCTAGCTCAGATAGTCATGGGACCTTATCTCTGGACTTCACTGTTACTCCATGAATAGCCCCAGGGACAGGCATCGACTTATTTCCAACTGATTTCCTTCCTTCTTTCTTCATCAAGTTCACCCGGGCCTGATGTGACTCCAAAATCAAGACTTTAGAGGGGCAGTTTAGGAGGAGGGCAGGAGGTGGCATGGCAATAGAAAGCGTCCTCCGATTTCAGTGAGAAAAAAATGTGTGCGACTGCCTGACTCAGCCTTTTACCAGCTAGCTGTATGTTAGGCCTCATTTGTAAGGGAGGGCGCTACCTCAGAGGTCTGTTAGGAGAAATGGAGAATGTGTGTAACCACATAAACACACACACACACACACACACACACACACACACAC